ATTTCTTGTGTTGTATTTATCGTATTTTTCTGTTTTACTACATTTTGTATTTTTGTATTGTATTGTGCAGTCTATTGTTTGTATTTTTGTTGTATTTTTGTATTTTTAATATACTTATTGTATTATATTTATTGTTTTATATGCGTATTGTATTGTTTGTATTTTAATTGAACTTTTGTGCTTATTACATTGCATTTATTGTATATTTGTATTTTCATTGTATTTAGATACTATATTTGTTGTACTTTTTTATTGCACTGTGTATGTTGTACTGTTTGCATTTTGTCGTGTTTTGTATTTTGCTACATTTCATATTTTTGCGTTGCATTTATTGTACTATTTCTATTCGATTGGATTTTCATTATTTATTTATTTATTTTTATTTATCATATCACAATTTTTAAATTTACAGAATTTTTCTGTGACATTTTTTATTACTTCTCATTTTTCGATGTCCATAGACTAGTGATTACAGCTATCCTTTTGTAATTTTAAGCGTAAGAAATATTTTTAGTTTTATTTTATAACATTTTTTGCACATATTCTGCTGCTTTGATTTATTGTATTCGAAGTACGACTTATTTTTTTATTTAATGATGACAATTTGCATTTTGTCAAGAGGGTATTCATTTCACACTTTTTATCTGCCTCATTGCTTGTTGCTTTTAAAGAAATTTTAAAGAAATTTTAAAAGCGAATTTGCTTTATTTCATTCTTTTTGTTTCTTATTCTTTAATTTTATCCATTTGTACAAATAACTTTGCTTTGACTTCTTTCCACCATTTTCATTTTTTCCTTCACTTGAAGGTTTTGGAATAACTAATTGATTTACTTTATGTAATTTCTCTTCTCTTCTATTAATTTTTTGAAAAAAAATTTTTTCATTTATATATTTTAATTAACAGATTTGATATCATAAATTGATTCGTTCTTTACTTCTCCACTTTATATTATTTAACTTTATCTCTTCCATACTTTTTTGCTGTCCCATTCATGTTGTCCATATGTGCTGCATTACTGTTTTTACTTTTGTATGCTTCTCCATTCACTTTGCTTATCTGTTTACTATTATTGCTGACATTGTATGGTTTTTTTTCCTTTTGTTAGACGTTATTTCGCATTTTTTCTACTCACTTAACTTATTTGTTTATTGTCCATTGCATGTTTCTTTTTCTTAATTTAACTTATTTTATCTTGCATGTCTTTCCACTCATTTTATTTATTTGTTCATCCCTACTCTTGTTGCAGGCTTTTTTTTTGACTTACTTTGTTTTGCATGCCTTTCCACTCACTTTA